GGAAAACCAGACCAACACTATGTGCCCAGTAATAGAAAACCAAAATATAGTTCTAGAGGCTAATTCTGACCCCAAAAGCTTTTTTGAGCTCTCTCTGAATGCTAATAACTTTTCCTAAATCAGGATCATTTTAGATAGAGAACCGATCGGAACTGCGATATGCAGTTATTCAGAGGACTTGCAACATGTCACTGCCATTGAAGTTGATTGTTTGGCTGAATATTCCATCCTAGCGGGGAAGAGCAAACATTTAGAAGAGATGCATCTGCTGCTGATCACTATCCAGTTGCAGAAATCATGTTAAAAATCAGAAAGTTTGGTAAAATGCATAAAAACGCAAACTTGACTTCCCATGTTTTAAAAGCGGACTAAAACAGAACTTGGTTGACTTAAGGTAATATTTTAACCAGAAAGCACAAGAAGAGAAACATCCCAATTGACTGAAAATCCAGCTGTGGACTTAAAATAGAGTTTTCAAAAGTTGCATTTTTCATGTTACTAAGTTCAGCACTGTCTGGTCTTTGAAGAAATGGATTGGCTCGACAGAGCGAGCTGGAGCACTCAGCATTCACACGGGAACTCACTCTCTTCTGCTGTCAACTGGCCCAAAAGCATGGCTGTGAGACTTACCATATCCTGGCTGTGAGCTATAAAACGTATCTGTTAGGGCCACCTTCGTGTTGAAGAAGAGATTTAAGAGATGGAACTTTCTAAGCTTTTTGTGGAGGCTTTTTTCTGTTTAAAAACATCTTTGCCTTTATTGGAGAGGTTTTCAAAGCTGAGGAAAGAATCTGTGAGCTGGATCCACTCCATTTTAGTAGTAATTAAACTCCCTATTCCTAAAGGCCCGGTCTAACTCTTAATGAAATAAACAGCATAGCTGCCATTGCGTTCTGGAGAGGCAGGATCCAGCTCCATCTACTTAGGGTTCTACACACGAATGCTTCCTAACTGTGATCCAGATAGAAATCAAAGTAGAGCAAAGTGTTTGACATTATTATCTCTAATCTGTGCCGCATTTTCCATGATCAGTCCCTTTACAGAAACTCCAAACCCCATATCCACTCTCTGTTACATTAGCATTCTGTTCTTAAACCAGCCACTTCATTTGCTGATTTCCACGCAACACCCACCTTGTAACCATATACATTAAAATCCTGCAGTGCCAAGTGTTTCAGAGATCCTGAAATGAGTCCCTGCTAACACTAACATTTCCATCTTCAAGGCCTTTACCCTACCCACTGAACTCTCCCCCTATTTCCTTGCTGCCTCATGACTCACCACTGAACCACGCTGTCTGTGCAACGCAACCAAGCGATCCCCAGCCCCAAAACCCTCCTTGCTCAAAAGCAGCACAGTAGCTGTGTTCCAAAACTCAGCTGAACTCATGGGGCTTCTGCCTTCTCTTACAACCAGTACTTGCTGGAAAAAATGCTGATTTGGTGAAATCAAGGCATTCCACAGATTCATTTTTACTACTTTTTTTCTTTTTTAAGGAAAAAAAATAAGAAATGTTTCAACCTGAAACCTCTTTCGTTCCCTGACAGCTCATCTATCCAGCACATCGACAGTTCATCAGGTGGAAAGGCATCTAGCATCTGCAGTTTATTACCTAGATGGAGCCAGGGGACCTCCAGCTTCCAGCTGATCACTGGAAAGCTCTGTAGTGAGACATAGCATTTATCTCAATTTATAAGCTTCAGGGATAAGGTTCTTCAGAGAATGAAAAATCAATGCAGCTGAAGGGAAATCAGCCAATGCCATGGCATTTTCAGGGGATTTGGCCCTCTTTTTGTAATATTTGATTAAAGGAGACTTCCACATCCCAAATGCTACACTGCCAAAGTTGAACATCAACTGCATGATCACCTATGTGGCAGGATGTGGAAAAATACTTCGTGTTAATGATTCTGTGCTCTGATCAATATTCTACAGTCTCCCCATGAAGAAGTTAGTGTTTCACAGAAGATAACACAGTGGAAGCAACAAGTGTCAAACCATTAAGACCCTGCCAGATTCCATACCGCTGCAATCCTGCACTGCAAACATTTGAGGCTGCCTGAAGCAAAATAATGGCAACTGCACAAAACATGCACAAAAAATCTCACTGTTCTACAAAATCTAGCATTTAATCACATGGATTGTTGATATTCGCAGGGTAAGACAGGCAAACAGCTCAAATAAATGCTTTTCAATAGGAAGACAATCAGCTTATGGCTGTTTCTGTCGCATAGGGACTTGATCGTATGTCTGACTCTTTGTATTTTGTAAAGAATTAATGGTATATAAATCACATTGTTAAAGCCATTGCGGAGTGTTTTATAACTGTAGGCTCTCTTTATAAACCGTAAGTTTACCATGTGACCTAAACCTGGCTATGTTTTATAATTACTTTTAATTCAGTTCCCAAGAAAACCAACTGGCAATGCTTCCTTAATTGTCCACATATACAACTAGAAGGTTTCCAAGGATGCTTCTTATTCAACACTTTCTACCTGCCTTCTGTGAAGCTGCTGATGAGCCAGAAAGGTCTGCACCTTGAACAGCCTGTCCTACCTGTGATTACAAACCTGTGTTGCTCTCTCCACTGGGACTTCACTGAGGCACCCATTCACAGGGTGAAAGTGCCAAACCCAAGCCCACAGTGACCACAGCTCTATACAGACACCCTCCAGTTGCCCACTAATCATATGGGATTTTTCCCATTCATGATTTTTAACAAGCCCCAAAAGCCTGTTCTGAGTGTCTGATCATTAGTCTTTACCTTCTTCTTTTAAGAGGTCTGAAAGAAAATGAATAACGTGGCAACATGAGACATATTTCACTAACAGGAGTGTAGAAAAGATCTTTAGCACCGTCAAAACCACCTGTTAAAATGCATATATTTAACAAAACCTTATCTCTCCTGATGGCATGAAAAGCTAAGCACTTCATCCCAAAGGTTTTCTCTGCTCTCATGGGCTTTTTTTTTCCAGATCAATTTCCAATTTTGGTATTTAAAGATGGCTTCAAAGTGTTTCTGTCTTAGGTACCACATCATTTATTATCCTGAAGACAGGAAGTATTCAGCTCTGGAAATGTCTTCTGCTTGTGTGCAGTAGGAAATTAGTAAGGGTTAAATATCTGGGCAGTGGGGATTGTCTGACATCAGCCCAACAAGTCAGCAAATTGCAGTCTTTTCTCTTTTCCTACACAGGCAATACAGGAAGGGACTGATAAATAGAATAACAATGAAGTTTCTCTCCCATCTGAGGAATACAGGAGCCTGCGAAGGCAATCATGAACTAAAAGTTCAGAGCCCAAGTTCTTCATTCTGTAACTAGAAGACAGTTGGGGGAGAAGGGACATCTGTTCCCACAACAAAAGGCCAAGAGGGACAGGATGGGGGAAGCTCAGCTTGTTGCAGTCCTCTCTGAGCTGCTATGGAAGTTTTAGCCTGATACGACTTTTAGCTCTCTTTGGAAGACATATGCATTTGACACTGCGCTTGTTCTACTTACTGTCACTACTAAACCCTTTTTATTCCTCTGCACGGAAAGCTTAGTCACTGGATCTGTCTACTCCTTCTCCCATCTTCTCCCATCAACTCCCCTCCCCGCTGACCCTCAAAGTTAAGACATGAAGTTACATTTCTCTATTTCTTCCATCAGTTATTGTGGTATGAGAGTTCCACTAAGACATGGGCACGTTCCAAAAACAACATGAGAATAAGGACTTCTGTGTTTTTAAGACCTGACCCAAAATATTTATTTATCCAGAAGTTGAAATTCTCACGAGCAATGGGTGAAATTCTGAGGAGAGAAGAGCTGCAGCAGTCCTGGACATAACACTGAATCTCTCGGCACAAGTGCTATAATATAGGCAATGAAGGATAAGCCATAAACCAAGCATCAGCAGAAATCTATATATTAACATAAGGTCATAACTCACATCAGTCACTTTTATATTAGAATGAAGTGAGAATGAAAGCATAGGTACACTTAAATAATAGGGATTCCTACAAATCCTGGAATGATTTATTACTGACAGTGCAGTAATAGATTGCTTATGGCAAACAGGAGATTCACAGTTTCCCAGGAGGCTTATTCCCCCACTGCAGGATACAAATAATTCCCATTGACTTCAGTGCTTTTCCTGCCATGAAGGACTAGGAATTTATTGGGTTCAGTGGGAGTTATGAATAACTTGCATGAGCAAAATCAAACCCTAAAGAAACAAATTATTCTGTCTACTTCTTAAATCTATTTCAGATATTTCTCTCTATGTCAGCTGGAAAAAAACACATACTCAGCTCAAACTTACCCATCCATAGAAACTAAAACTTCTTACCCATCTATAACAACACCTATAAACAAATGTGTATGGTCATTGTAGAGCAGAAGTAGCAACAAAAGCCGTAACAGGCTGAAAGATTTCTTATGGAAAATGTTCTCTGTAAAGTATTTGTCTCCTGGGCAGATTTAACCAACTAACAACCAAGATGAGGTCTAGGATGAGGTGTTCCTGCCCATGGCAAGGGGGTTGGAACTGGATGATCTTAATGTCCTTTCCAACCCTAACTATTCCATGATTCTAAGACACCTTCACCCTGCAGATGCACAGAGGATTCCCTCACTACCACTGGGTAGTCATCTCACTGTAACTGTGCATTGTTTCATTTACCAGCGAAGAGCAACCACATAAAATCAACCCAAATACCAGGTTCTACTTCTTCACAGTTGTATGCTTACATTCCCATCCTGCCCATCCCCACCACCTGAAGAGGAGGAAGAAATGTTCCTCCTTGAGAAACATACTTGAGAAAACTCATTGCTTTAAAGGAGACATAAGGGCTAATATTTAATCTGGTAGACCAGCAGATGGACAATCACACGGCTGTTGGTGTACCTAGTCAGGCATAGCACATTTCCAAAACAGGAATGTGTTTTCAGGAAAGCACTGAAATGTGCATGTTTGGCAGCTAAGTGGGTGAGCAGAGAGGACTGTTGGGGATTTCTTACCACCTCCTTACAGACGGCTAGCTGGTGCAACTCCTGATGACAGGAAACACAGCCAGAGGATCTATTCCAGTACAGCAACTTGTATGGAAGGACACCCTCCTGAAATCTCCACTGTGCTGCAATGGCGGCACTGATGGAATCACTCCTGGAAAGAATAAGTTAGTCTTAGACACCCTAGGAAGTCTCCCACTGATGTCAGTGACATTATGGGCATAGGTAAAGGAACAAATTTGGTAAGGCAGGGCTTTTCAACAAGAGGAAAATACATTTAGTGTCTTTGTGTCTATATCAGTAACTTTATATATGATATAGCATTTGGTTTCAGATGGGCTTTTCCAAGTTAATGGAGATGTCTGAAACTGAGTAAACAATGGAAATACGTCCTTGCAAATGTCATCTTTACATGGCAGATAGAGATAATGCAACATGTCTGTTATTTTCAACTTCCTATTTAGAAACCAAACTTTGCTTTGACAAACTATCAGAATGCTCCTGTGACATCCCAAAAGATACCATAGTCAGGTGTCCCAGATTGTACTAGAAATGTCAGATCATTTCTAGTCATGTAGCCCTCAGTAAATTGAGGGAAGGTTTGTATTACAGAATCATAGAATAGTTTGGGTTGAAAGAGACCTTCAAAGGTCATCTAGTCCAACACAGCTGAAGTGCTTCAATACTACCATAGAAAATCTACACCCAATTGGAAAGAAAATAGCAACTCCAGAGTATTCAGTGCCATATGTGCTGGGAGGAAAGTTTGGGGACATTGGAATTCCTGCATATCCTTATTATCCTTTTAAGTAGAAACCGAGTCCTGAAAAAGCTGATGGTGTGTATGCAAAATTATAAGCAATGTGTTTGCAAGAACTGGGTTGTCTGTGCTACAGTATAAAGTGTGGACAGCCTGTATGACTAGGAAATATAGGTTCTTCTGGAAGAGGATGAAGTAAAGATGCAGTTTTGTAAAGGATTTAGAAGGAAGGAAAGAAAAAAAGGGAGGACTCATTCTCTATTTGCTATCTTTTAAAACACCTGCCATTCAGTCAGTTCCTAAAGCTCCAAAGGAAAAGTATTCTTTCAAAGTATTTTCATGGGCCCTGGGGCCAGGCAATTGCAAATCTGGATGAGTCAAGAGCATCCACTAAGGAGGAAACAACAGCAGGAAGCATGGAAATTGTCTCAGACTTCCCTTGGCTTTACTGACTTAACAGGGAGACCCCACCTACACATTTAATAGGGTCAGAGCCATAACCCAAGGCTATAGGGTATAGAGATTCCTGATCATTCCATTACGGTAAGGATGTACATTTCTAGTTAAACTCACAGAACAATGCTGAATAGCTCCTCAGAAGATTAACAGGACCTCCCACTTCATGGAAACAGTGACTGTTTACATAATATGTAACGACAGTAAATCATAACAAATCCTAGGAGAAAACTCCAGTGAGAGATAAAATAACATGACCTTCTGATTTTTCTTCTTTTCTCAGTCTTACAATCCATGTCTTTATTCCCCTATCCTGTAAGGATTTCTGCATACCCTTAACTTTCAGCACAACAGTAGCCCCACAGCTTTCAATTAGTCCAATTAAGTGCAAAAAAAAATGAGTGCATGCACAAGAAAATGTCTTTTTTATCTGTTTGCTTAAGCAGTGCCTAATGTAGTACAACCCCTTCCATAGCCTGAGTTTCCTACCACTGTGGTATAAATAATACAAGACGTTCCACTTCGCAAGGTTCAACAATTAGCATTCTAACTCAAGGGCTGGTACAAAGTAGCACCACTATTGATCTCCATTACCGTGCTGAGCCAGACCAGCTGAGGATCAGACCCTGCCTGAGGTGGTGAGTGCTTTGTAATATGCAAAGGAATTAAACAAATACTTCTGTGGGGGGAAATATTTGCAACTGGATAACTGGTTTCTGAAACTCATCTGTCAGTTGCAATTAATTCCTGAAGAATGTCCTGCATGAGAAAACCTTGTTCTATAATTTGCTATATTCTAATACGACAAAGCTTTCGCAAGACAAACAGACTTCATTACTTTTCCCTTGGGAACTCCTGCACTCTCTTTTTGTGCATGTGCATGTGAGCAGCTCCATAATTACACAACCAGAACTCAGATTTGCTTCAAATGAACCATTTCAGGGCTTATTCCGTGACAGGACACTCCTGTGAAAACATACCCATTCCCCGCTAAGAGAACAGAGTCAAAGCAAGTTAAAATGATTATAAAAAAATACCCATTCCCTGCTAAGAGAAAAGAGTCAAAGCAAGTTAAAACAATTATACTAAAAGGAAAATTGGGGGGGGGGGGGGGGGGGGGGGGGAGGTGTCACATCTAGCATTTCCATCAAGAAGTTATCACGTCAGGCCTGAAAACCAGTACACTAAGCGCTGTACCACCATGTGAAAAAAGAGTCTACTCCTGAAGATTTCCATCAGAAGTGCATCTGCATGGCATTAAAATGTGTGTTTAAGGGAAGAGATCGCCTGGAGCAGATGTGCAAGACTCGATGCAAAATTGCTGTGTGCCTGCCAGGGGCTGCAGGAATGCAAACCCTTCACATCAGTGCTTTAGGAGGTGATGCATATCCTGAGAGCGCTGTCTGCAGCCTCCTGCACGCCCTCTCAATGTGGCCAGGGTGTCCAACAGACAGGGTGGATAGTCCTCCTGCACAGTGTCCCCACGTGGTCAGTGGCTGGGAGCGGGTTCTGGCTGCTCTTTTAATATTATTAGTGATTTAATCATCCAACAAAGAAGCCAAATTCAAAACGAGGACTCTTACATGTGAATTAAGTACACTTCAGCACTTGCCCAACTCCCATTCATATGGCAGCTTAAAGATCTAATGGAAAAGAACAGACTTTTAATGACCACGCGTCCTTGTGCTCTGGAGTGTGGGCTACAGCAACTAATAATAGATGAAGGTTTACATGTTTTTCTTGTGTTTCTGCTGGGGCTGCTGTGTCATTAATTCAGCTTGTGCCTGGCTACTTATGTTAAACATTCCCTTTGTGGCTTTCTCTAAATCTTAAATTTTGCATGTGACCACACGTAAATGTAAATGTGTATTTTTATGGTCCTGTAATCTCAGTGCTTTTAAATCCCAATTGCCTGAAGGCATACAGGGAGCTGAAGCAGAAAAGCTTGGTCAGTTTGTGATCATTTAGAGCTAGTTTATTTGCTCTTTCTGAATGGATTTGGTTCCTGTAGAGGTTTTTGCCTTTTGTGTAATAGAGTAAAGATAAGATCTAGGAACCTAATTAACCCTGCAGGGCCTGTGAACAAGGCTTATTAGAAAACAGTCAAACACATTTATATTTAAATACCTTATTTACAGGAATTCACATCATATTTCTGAGCAGCAGATATACATGCCACACACTCATACCTTTAACCACTGTAAACCATTTCCTTAAATAAAGCTGAAAAATGCTCTGAGTTGGAGCTCAAAGTCATCTGGATTACAGGAGTAAAAGACTCCCCAGTAATAAATGAAAGTCTGCAGGATCCTGCAAGCTATAGTGTTCTTTCACCTGCACCCCAAATAAAGGGCAAAACCAGTTACTGCAGCCCACATCCTGACCAGTAAACACCACTCCAAAGTAATTTCTCTGGGGACCTTCCCATCTGTCTAAGGGAGTGACAATAAGATATATGTGATCACAGACATCTCTGAGGACTTCTGGAGAGACTTCATAAGGAGTCAGAATAAGGTTATTAAAAACCTCATTTTGAGGTTACTTCAGATTTTTATAAATATCCTGGGTCAGACAGGAGCAAAGCATAGGTTTTAGTACTATGTGTCTATGAATATACATGTACCTGTCATACAGGTTCCAGTTACTTGAGAACAAAAGTATCCGCAGCAATTCTGAGTTCTCCTTTCTTAACCCTTCACTCCTCCCACCCTTCATCACAGAGAGACCAGAAAAAACAAGTGAAGAGAGATCTTTGGAAACACTTGACCCAATTTTCTACTCTGAAGAAAGGTATGGGAAAGGAAATGTTTATTTGTGGGCACAATTGGTAATTCAAACCCACATCCTCAAAGTGCCAGCACTTAACATATCCTACTGATTGAGGACTTCAGAAGTCAAGAGCCTAATGCTGGTGATTAGCCCCTGCCTCCTATGTTGGTGCATTACCGGGTGCAGCTCTATATATGTACCCTGTGCGTAGCAGCTTAAAAGCCAGAAGAATTAGTCTTGCTTCTCATGACATCTTGAAGGGCAGCCTGGATTCAGAATTAGGTCTGGACAGTACTTAACTTTGTTGTAAATGACTGCCTGACCGGTGAGTAGGATAAATGATGCCACTGGGACTGAAATGTATCTTAAAATTAATCATTTGCTTAATGGTTTTCCTGGAGAAGGATTGGTTTAAATACAAATTTAAGAGCATTTTCAGCTGCAAGGCATGTGGGAGTGAAGATCCCATCAGACAGAGATTCTAAACAAGACAGACCTATATTGTGTCACAGGTATTTTAAAATCAGAGACATTATTAATGTAATTTAAATTCTATATCCAGGCACAGTTGGTAAAAGCAACCGTATCTTTACCCTATAAGTTCTTCAGGAAGGGAATTATTTTTGTTTGGGATTTATATGGCATTTTAGACAACAGGAACTGGTCTAGGACTGGGGCAATGGCACTGTAAAGCTGTACAAATGAACATAACTGTGTTTTTTTAAAATTCCTTAGCTTAAAATTCTTCAAAGGCCTAAAATTAATATTTTATTAGCCAATTTAAAAGCGTGCTGCTTAGAAAAGACAAAACCTTGATTGTTTCTATAAGTAGGTCCATGATTTATATCATGAATCACTTTGGCAAGAGCAGGAAAATCCCAAATCAAGTTACTCTTCAACCTGCACTAATAAATCCTGTGTTGACACGAATTCCTTTTTCAGTGCCTCATTTTCAAGGAGCCGTGTGGCTTTTTAATAATCAGTCTTGTTGGATCCTCTTCATCCTATTCAAGAATATAGCGATAACTGCAAAAGCATCTTGGGCAACACAGGGCAACTCAAACTCAGCGCTGAGAAATAGCTCTGTGAAATCCAGTTTAATGAGATATCAAAATATCACATCTGCAAGTCTTGGCTGCTGGACAGTGCTTTGGAAAGCAAAGCCAGTTCCCCTCGTCTAGATTAGTCAACATCAGGTTCATTGGTCTAACATTTCACAAAATATTTTCCCACATTTGTCTGACTGCAGATTGAAGGGTGTAGCTGACAACATAAATGTGCCCTAAGGTGAAAAGCCCTAAACATTTCCCTCTGCGATCTATGGGGCTGGACATTACCAATGCAGATGTCTGTAATCAAGAGATCTCTATGGACCTGCTAATTATTCCCTGGGCTTTTCCATCGGCAATAAAAATCCCATTTGTCGCAGCTTGTTTGCAGAACTGCTCCATTTCCACAGTGGTGGCATTAATTAGCAAAAAAACTGTGAAAATTGACAGAGTTTATAGGTTCAAAAAAGCCCCACTAAGCAATGCTTCTAAATATTCCTATAAATTCAACCATGGCAACGAGTCCTGCAAGCCCAACTTTCTCAGTTGGAGCAATTTTTCATGCTTGTAGCAATAAGTGGGAAATAATGGGGGTCTCAGATTCACATTAGGGAAGTTGCTTCTGTGACCTCTTCATGCAGATGGATGGTGAATTTCTCAGATAATAAATCAAGGTTTCCTGATGCTACAGTGGCATCTCTCGCTGAGGCCTGTAGAGCTGCTGCTGCCTTCTATTCAAAGGCGGCAGGCCTCTCCCCTGCAGGATGCTTTCTCTACAGATCCTGCAGTCAGGATCAGGAGATATTAGGGCCTCTATAAACTGCCCAGCATCCTGCTGGGAAATGGACACTTTTCAACTTCATTGACATCTGTCACACATACAAAGAATAGAAAGCGATCAGGAAAAAAGCCACATCATGACTTTCCCATCAGCAGGGCCAGTGAAGCCTTTGTTCTTAAAAGATATTTAAATGTTCATCGGAGATTACTTTGCTTAATAGTATCTTTACAAAGACAATCTTACCTTTGGGTTTTAGTGGCCACAGAATGTTTCTGTTTCTTGATACTTTTTTTTTTCCTGTAGGAATTTCAAATGAGAAAAAAATAGCTGTGATGCCAGTTTTTCCATGCAGTTTTTATTAACTTTCTTCTCAGTAAGTCCCTGCAAGAAAAATGACACCAATTTTTATTATCAGAACTATATTAAGTGACAATTTAATTCCCAGAGTAGCAATGCGTTCATTTTTTTGGAGTTAAAGCTTTTTCCCAAATGACCCTAAAATAAGCATGGGAAAGCAGGATTGTAAATACAGTAATAAAGCCAACATACTTTTTTTCCCCCTCAATGTATTGCCTATATTAAATACCATTTGGGGGATATGGCTGTCAATTATTAAGCTTATATAACATAAGGATAAAACTTCAGGTGATGCTTTTTTGCCATTTATAATAATTTTTAAGTGCCTTAAATGCAGATGAGAAAACTTTAGTAGGAAATTCCCTCTCTTCTGAGTGCGATGCATGCACACAACTACATTTTCAGTTCCATCTCTATGCAAGTATTGCCTTCAAAAAGCAACAGAATCCAGTATTTTCAGCTGTAGCTCTGACATGCTATGGGATCACGAGTGTACTTCTGGGACTCAGTTTCTCAAAAGCTGATGATGCATAAGATAAGTGCTTCTATATAGCACTGTTATACCTAATGATAAAAAGAATTCTTTATTTCTTTTGCACTTATCACAGAAGTCAATATAATCTATTCATTCTAGGGTTCCTCTACCGCCTTCAATAGAGTCAGCGTAGTTTATGTAATGGTAATGGATTTGGCCAACTGGCTTCAGTCTTTTCACTACTTTCACCAAAACCAACTAAATTCAACAGTGAGGTGAATGAAGCAAGCAGGGCTGGGCCATATTTTATACAAAGACAACACAGAGCTTGAGCTGGCAGCAATATGGGAGATAATGCAATTAGCCAAATAAAAACTGAGGGGGAAACCTCAATGTGCCTGCTCGGCTGCAATGACAAAGCTGTGGTACTGCAGAGGCACCTAGGGAAAGGGGTTTTTATTCCCTCCTGGGGGCTGGACAAAGAGGAGCAGTGACAGGCTGGGATCATCAGTCATTGAATTCTGACCATGGTATAATATTTGCAATTTAAGATTAGATGTAAGATTAGATGAGCAAAGAATAAGGTTGGCTTAGAAATGGTCCTGGTGAGGCTTACAACTGACCACTGAGCCCACAGCCAGCTGGCGCATTGGTTTCCCAAAGCAGCATGAGAGCCAAAGAGCCAAACAGATGAGTCCCACCTGCTTAAAGCCATGGCCACAGAGAGGCAATGGAAAGCAGTCTGGATCCCTCCAATGGGTGATAGATATTTAATAACCTTTTCCCCCCACCTATTCAGAAGACTTTTTGCTAAAGGCTGAGCCTGAGTGTGCAAACTTCACAGCACTGTAAAATTCAGCAGTCTGCAAAGTTTTAATGGAAAACACCATCAAATTCTGTTGGGCAGAAAATGTGCTTTTCATGAAGAAAACTTCTTCGTTAAAAATTAACATACTGAAAGCATTAACACAGTGTTTAAAAGACTAGGCTCATTCCGAACACCTTAAAACAAAAGTAACTACAACATTCCAGAAACAAGTTTTCATCCAGTCAGGAGTTTAACCGTTAAATACCTTCAAAGGTCCAAAGTTTAATGATTCAGCCCCTGGAATGACTTTTTAAAACTGCCTAATTCTACTAAGGCAATGTAATTTTTAATAGCAAATGGGTTTTTCTGAAATAAAGCTGCAATTTCCATCTTTCTTATTATGATTTCATGAAATGCCCACAGAATGTAGTTCACTGCACATTTCAGTTCTGGGTGTATGTGAACATGGCACAAAGATGGAGCTCAGTCTATCATCAGTCCTACCTATGCTCAGAGCTCAGGTTTGTCCTTCCCTTTCCATCAGGCTGTACCTTTCTCTGAACAGCGGCATCTTTTATCAATCCATATAGAGGGCATTTTAGCACCAAGATTTGAAACAATCTAGATATTCTGGAATATAAATATTCCAGAAGTGTCCCTGACAATCTGCAAGTAGCTACATGTACTAAAGAAGCACATTTACTACTGACAATAAGCGTGCAGCTGAAGTCTAAAGGCAAACAGCACAAGTCCTGAAACACAGGCTTTTAAGGGCTCTAATTTTATATCACCAGGTTCTTTTGCTAGCATTATCATATAGCTTCAGAAATAATCTGGTATTATTGTTCCCATGTGCCCCATATATACAAGCCTGCCATCCTTCTTTCACCTATTGTCTTGCTCCATGGAGGGACTTCTGGGTTGGTTTGTTTAGGAAAAGCCTTCAGAATGCTGAATATGCCTTACTGTCATTCAAGCACATTTAAAAGATAAGGGATGTCTCTCCTCTTCCTGGGTCAAAAAATTTCCTCCATGTAAACATGCTTAAAGTTTAAAAACTCCTTTTACACATAAAATCTGGCAATGTTTTCCCCAGGATTTTCTGTTGAAAATGTGAACACTTCATATTCCTGTGCTGTAAAGCGGAATATTCATTCAACCTCTGACATTCACCCTTTGCAGTTACTGCAGAATATAAGCTAATGATCCAAGATTTGCAAAGGGACTGCCCTACACTGCGACTTCCAGCTTTGTAAAGGCCACACAACTGAAGGTTCCAATTGTCTCATTAACTTTCTGACTGTACCAATCAGAAGTTTATTATACAGTACTTTTCTCTTTCAACTTTTACAGTTCATATACCCCAGCAGGAGCCTGGACACAATGATCCAGGACGCCCCTTTCAGCCCTGGGTTCATGAGATGCATGAAAACAAATCACAAAGGTCCAAAGCAGTATTTTTAGAAACCTAGATTAGATGAAGCACAATGGGACATACAATTACAACAACAACCTTCAAGGTAATACAACAGACACAAACCATAGTGTGTTGTATATAACCTATACAAACATTTCCACTTGATTTCCTAAGGAAATGAGGCTTATGCAGTCATGCCGTCTGTCTGTTCATGTCTCCCCTTAGTAACTTCCAAACCCACTGGCACATTTCAATGAAGTTGTCAGGGGAGAAGCAAAAGATTTAGAGATAATTATGTTCTTACAGGTCTTGTCATTGCACAAAGAAAAGAGACCTAAATTAGTGCCCCCAGATGAGGAAAATCTCCTTGAAGGTGTGGGATCAATGGTGTCCAATCAGTGCAAATCAGCTTATTTCTAGCCTTTGAATTGGCACATGTGTAGCTCCATAGCGGATGCAGCAGAAGCTGCCTTCTGCCTTTCTGGTCATGAGTGGTTTTGGGAAGGATCCGGAGGTCTCATGAAGGTCCCTAGAAGGTGCATGGGAGACAGAGGATACGGTTCCATAGGAAACTGAGCTGCTGCTGCTACTGGAACAGTTCCTTATACTTTTTCACAAAACAAACAGGATGGTTTCTGATTTTAACCCCTTGGCTGGACTATTTCTGCTCTGTCAGGTCTTCCACTGTCCTCAAAGGGCTAGGAATCCACTGCACAGTCACTCAAGAATGCTTGGTCATAATACTGGCTGCATTTTCATTTGAGATCAAGAAATATAATCACTGGGCTCAGGATTCCCTGAGACTTTGGAGAAACACTTTTAGAAAGGGCATGTCCCATTCTCCCAACTGCCAGTAATTCATTAAACCACATGAGTCTCTGCCGACATGCATGTTTGCTCTTTCTCACACTAAAGTTAAATCTACTCAATTTTATTCTTCTGCCACCCTTAGCTTGAGGGTGTCCTTTGGAACCAGTTCATCTTCCATAGTTACCTTCCTTGCCCCCTAACCTGCCTTCTTGTTTTATTCCCAGATCACATACGCTTAATACTGCTGTATTCAGGGGATTCCTGAGACACCTGTTAAACTCATGCCAAGTGGAAAGCAAAATGAGAAGACACTCCTTGAAGCTGTGCTGCTGACATGCATCATATGGAAAACTTTCGTAGAAGTGGCCGACTTTCAACATCCCGTGGAGCATTCCAAATCCTATTGCTGTACTTCAAAACCCAACAATTTTCAATTAACACATCAGGGTGCAAGAAAAATCACCCTGAAAAAAAGAATTAATGCTCTGAAAAACAGCTGACACTGTTTTCAAGCCTCTAAGAAAGTCAAATAGAGCAGGTAATGCAGCACCTTGAGAGAGGGACTCTTCATCAGGGACTGTAGCGATAGGACAAGGGATAATGGGTTTAAACTAAACAGGGGAAGTTCGGGTTATCTATAAGGAAGTTCTTTACTGTCAGGGTGGTGAGGCACTGGCACAGGCTGCCCACAAAAGTGGTAAATGCCCCATTCCTGGCAGAGTTCAAGGCCAGGTTTGACAGAGCCTTGGGTGACATGGTCTAGTGTGAGGTGTCCCTGCCCATGGCAAGGGATTGGAACTGGATGATCTTGAGGTTCTTTCCAACCCAAACCATTCTATGATAAAAGAAAGAAAGCTTTAATCCAAATGTACCTTGAAGTACAGTACTTATGGATCCAGCAGGGCCTGTCTTCTTAAATTAATAGCTATTAAGTGCTTAAACACAGGGAAGAAGGACAGATGCACTGCTTGTGAGATAAACAGAAAACTTATGCCAAGCTGGGGAGTCTTTTAAAAGTAAGATCAATTCAGTCAATAGATTAAGGACCACATCTTGGATGGAAAGCTGCCTCCCTTCCAAGTTCTCTGACCCTTCTTTTCAGGATTTACAGTCTGCATAAAGGATTTATAGAGATTGTGATTTTGAAAAGGTTTATGCTTGCAATTTTTGCTGAAAGTGAGTCACTTGCTCGGGATGCAGTCATATTTTTAAAGGATTCACCAGCAGACCTTATTTTTAGTAACTGTTCACCATTTTGCCAACAGAGCATCACTCTTCAGAATGAATGAATGGATAAATGTTGTTAAATAGTGGTTTTCAAAAAGGAAAAATGAAACTGCAATCAGGGAATCTGAACAACGACCACACCATCCGCCAGCCCCAGTGTTACAACTCAGTTGGGCACTGTTGCTCAAGCCAGTCTGTAATTAGCACGGATATGAATTGTGAGAATTGGGCTTTTTTATTTTTCATGACTTAATTGATTTTAGACAACCACTCAAGGCAGAAAATCC